TGTAATCCCAACACTTTGGAAGGTCCAGGCAAAAGGACGGCTTGAGCCCAGGGAGTTTGAGGCTGCAGTGAGCTGTGACTATACCACTGTACTCTAACACAGGTGACAAAGCTATGCCCTGTCTCTAAATAAATAACAACAAAATTAAAAAAATAAAATTTTAAGGGAGTGCCGGGTGCAGTGGCTCATGCCTGCAATCCCAGCACTTCGGGAGGCTGAGGTGGGCTGATCATGAGGTCAAGAGATCGAGACCATCCTGACCAACATGGTGAAACCTTGTCTCTACTAAAATACAAAAATTAGCTGGGGTGGTGGTGTATGCCTGTAGTCCCAGCTACTCAAGAGGCTGAGGCAGGAGAATTGCTTGAACCGGAAAGCAGAGGTTGCAAAGAGCCAAGATTGCACCACTGCACTCCAGCCTGGCGCCTGGCAACAAAGCAAGACTCTGTCTCAAAAAAAAAAAAAAAAATTTAAGGGAGTATGAGCATACTCCTCATTTAAGAAGTAGGAAAGGAAAAAAATGATTAAAGAACCCCAAAGTAGTAACTGAAGTTGCTATAATTTTCTTTATACAGGCCAGGCGAGGTGGCTGACACCTATAATCCCAGCACTTTGGGAGGCCGAGGCAGATGGATCACCTGAGATGAGAAGTTTGAGACCAGCCTGGCCAACATGACAAAACCCCGTCTCTACTAAACATACAAAAATTTGGGGCATGATGGCAGATGCCTGTAATCCCATCTACTCAGGAGGCTGAGACAGGAGAACCGCTTGAACCTGGGAGCAGGAAGCTGCAGTGAGCTGAGATCATGCTACTGTACCCCTACCTGGGTGACAGAGCAAAAGACTCCGTCTCAGAAAAAAAAATTACTTTAAACAGTTGGCCCTTGAACCACAAAGGTGTGAATTGCATGGGTCCACGTATATATGGCTTTTTTTCAACTGAACACAGATGGAAAACTGCATTGGCAGGATGCAAAAGCCAGGTATCCAGAGGGCCAATTTTTCATACCCATGGGTTCCACCGACTACAGGACTTGAATATGCATGGATTCGGGTGTACCTGGGGGTCCTGGAACCAACACCCTGAGTACACCAAGGAATGACTGCATTTCACTTCGTTTTCCAAATCATGCATAAATATTTATTTAAAAAACAATTAGATCTGAAATTTGAAGGCATAACAAAACAAAGACCTGCAAACTTTAATCAAACAAATCTTAAAACATTTAAAATACAAACTGGTATCCATCTGAGTGACTATAAAAGACCAGGTTAAAAACCAAGCAGTGTGCAAACACGGACTGTTTATTTTACAAAGAACAAGATATCCAGAAAAAGAAAGGGGAAAAACAACACTAAAAATCCCAAGAAGGGCAGAGAAACCACTGTGTTGAGCCAACAGGGACAGAATTATAAAACTCCAAGTTTTCTCACAGATTACACAAAAGGGCTAAAACCTGTTTTAAACGTTGAAGGCATTGCTTTTGACTACCCTCTGCTCTGAGAGGTGGGGGAGCAGGAGGTGTGTTATAATCCTGAAGATGCTAAAAATCCAAGAAGAAAGACAGTATGATTCATTAATATAATAAAATTCCAGACCTACTCCAATCTATAGGGAGGGAGTAAACTAATATTGAGTAGCTAGTTATTACTGTAGTTAAGTTTTTTGTTTTGCTTTTTTGAGACAGGGTCTCGCTCTGTCACCCAGGCTGGAGTGCAGTGGTGAGATGATGGCTCACTGCAGCCTTGACCTCCCAGGATCCAGCGATCCTCCCACCTCAGCTTCTCAAGTACATGGGACTACAGGCACCTGTCCCCAAGTCCAGCTAATTTTTTAAATTTTATGTAGAGATGGGGTCTTGCCATGTTGCCCTGGACTGTCTCAAACTCCTGGTTTCAAGCGATCCTCCTTGGCCTCGCAAGTACTGGGATTCCAGACATGAGTCATTATAACCAGCCACTTTAATTTTTTCTTTTTTCCCCCCAGTCAACCATTATTAGCTAAATAGGGAGTATCCTGTCTTGACTCTTTGCAATCAATAAAACCCAAATTTTAATCCTCCTTCAGCACAAGTAGTTAATTCTAGAGTCTCTTCCATTATTTTAAGCAGAGATTGTTTTGATATTAATTTCCCATGGCCAAAGGAAAGAAAATTCCCTTATCTACTCCAATGTAGAACAATTTAGATGCAGGATGACACAATTCCACAGTGATAGTCACATTATCAGGGTAAAACCAATTCAAGCAGAAAGGCAGGCTCAGAAGAACAGAGAAAAGAGAGTAACAGGCTGCATCTGGCTGCTGCCATCAATTGAGGAAAGAATGAGAACATGGTATTGAGTTCCGAGACATGAACTTGGGCAGGTTAGGGGAGAATAGAAAGAAAGGCAAAATACCTGCAGCTAAAGCCACTTCCAAATAATTTATTTTAAATAGGCTTTTGAGGCATTTCAGTTTGGAAAACTGAAGGGGAGAGGAAAAGAAATGAGGATTTGCATCTGGTTAAGTATCACATAAAACATTAGTTTGGGCAAAATCATATATCTGCTATTCAACAGATAATTCCTTTACATCTCATTCAATGAAAATACTTGTTACTAGAGAGAAACAAGGAAGTCCATGTGCAACAACCCACAGGCTATCAAATTTCCAGAGGTACAGAGGAAATTTTATTAAAATAATACCTTTTTAAAAGCGAAGTAATTCTTTCAGCTTTATCATCATCACCTCTGTAAATCACAATAGCTATCAATTTGCCAAATTATCAAAAGCAACTGGAACTGATTAAACCTTCATGACAGTAAAATCAGATGAGAGGCCAAAGTTCACTGGGACTCTAATATCACTGGCACTGGTCTCCCTTGAGTCGGGTTTGTTGTTTTTAAGCCACCTGAAACCTTAAGTAAACAAATCTAACTGCCAATGAAAACTAACACACCCAGAAACTCTCAGCGAAACGTTTACTTCATAGTTCATAATACAGACCTGTCCTATTCCATCTACAGGTGGCCTTGCCTGGAGGTAAAGGTCGAGAGAAAACACTTCCTAACACCTTCACACTTCAAAGTGAGGGGAAAAAAAAAAACAAGTCTTTGAGTCAAAGACATAAGAACTATTATCTCAGTGGCAAATACATACATACCACAGCCTTCCTGGCTTTCCCAAGACTGCTTCATCTTTGCTGCTTAACTAACCAGAAAAAAATTTCCTCTATGTTCCTAAATTTCCTTAAAAATCAGACTTATAGAATGCTAGAGCTAAAAGAGCCTTCAAAATATTAATGTCTTGCCCGTAATCCCAGCACTTTGGGAGGCAAGGCAGGCAGATCACATTGAAGTCAAGAGTTCGAGACCAGCCTGGCCAACGCGATGAAACCGCATCTCTACTAAAATACAATAAAATTAGTCAGGTGTGGTGGTGTGCGCCTGTAGTCCTAGCTACTTGGGAGGCCAAGGCAGGAGAATCGCTTGAACCCGGGAGGCAGAGGTTACAGTGAGCTGATATTGCACCACTGTACTCCAGCCTGGCCGACAGAGCCAGACTGAGTTTCAATTAAAAAAAAAAAGAAAAAAGATATCAATGTCTTTACCCCACCAGATCTGACCAGCAGCAATGCAGCACCCATCTTTAGCCAGCCCACTCCCCACCCCACTCCCACTCCCACTGGTCAAAATAAACCTCCCTGGGAACCAGTGGCAACACCTTCATGATAGTAAATCAATCTGCTCAAAGAACCCTGTGATGTCAGTTTCTGAGGTAGCTTCTAACAGGACCCTAACAGGATTTCTTAGAAAGCTTCACTCCAAACATCTTTTTATTTTTTCCAGGACAGGGTCTCACTCTATCACCCAGGCTAGAGTGCAGTGACAGAATCACGGCTCACTGCAGCTTCAACGTCCCATGCTCCAGTGATTCTCCCACCTCAGCCTCCTGAGTAGCTGGGACTACCGGCATATACCATCATGCCCAGCTAATTTTTTTTTTTTTGTAGAGACAGGTCTCGTTATGTTGCCCAGGCTATTCTCAAACTCCTGAACTCAAGCAATCCTCTCACCTTGGCCTCCCTAAGTGCTGGGATTCCAAGTGTGAGCTACCACATCTGGCCTCTAAACACCTCTAAAGACTGTTTTTACTAACACTCATTTGGGAGGCATTTTTATTTTTTATATATATATATATATATATTTTTTTTTTAATTGAAGTTCTGGGGTACATGTGCATATCATGCAGGATTGTTGCACAGGTACATACAAGGCAATGTGGTTTGCTGCCTCCATCTCCGTCACCTGTATCTGGCATTCCTCCCCATGTCATCCCTCCCCTACCTCCCTACCCAACACTGTCCCTTCCCTAGTCCCCCGCAACAGACCCCATGTGTGATCCTCTCTTTAAAAATGCCTCCCAGGAGAGCAACTTTCTGGGCTTTCAGCACATCACATCATATAGGAAGCCTGGTAAGATTAACAGTATATATTTTTAAAAGGAAATTTTTCTAATATGTCTTTGCCTCACTGAAGTATTTCATAATGTTAACTCAGAATTAGTCACTGTGGTTTGTCATGCTGTTATCTATATCAAAACTTTAAAAGGCCTGCCACCTGCTATTCCAAAAACACCAATCTTGACCCAAGAGAACACCCTGGGCAGTGGTTTCTGTTTATCTCCAAAATGATAAGCAGAAAAATAAAAGGCAGTAGAGGGAAGGAGCAGTTTTTGTTTTGCAAAGGTCAAGTTCTTTCCGCATGATTTTTTTTTTTGAAGACATTTCTTTTCAAAACCTAGATCCATTCCCTGAAAATGGAAATCTGACTTTCACCTTTTAATGAAGCAATTTCCATGTATCCCACCTCTTAAAATTCTGAGTAAAAACCAAAGCAACAACTTTTGCAACATATACTAACAATAATTCTAATAATAAAGTTTAACAAAGCACTAAAAATTCAGACACAGATTTTGGGCTTGAAGAAAAGATATAAAGTTATTTTTTAACACTTACCCACTCCTCGACATTGGGGGGCTGCTCATCATAAACGGGTTCCTTGTCCCACAAAATATTGGACTTGTCATACCTGTTCATCTTTCTTCGAGTTTTCACAGCAAAGAAAATTATTAAAGCGAAAGCCACAATAATCATGAACCCCAGTACAATGGCAATGGCCTAAAAAGGGGTGAAAAATATTGGCATAATCAGATTTTAATTGCTTCATCACAATCCACCCTCTACATATTATTAAAACTACCTAAGGCCCCACTAAATCCATGTGGTTTAACTGATAGAAAACTGAAGCAAATAGTTACATTTTAGACATATCATAAAACCTAAACCACAGTAACTGGGCTAAGGCCAGCAAATGTGTGTACACACACACACACACACACACACACACACACACACCTTGATTCAGTCCTCAGAAAATGCCTAATGTTAGAAACTATCAATCACCCCCACTTTAGAGCTGTAGAAAACTATTTCCAAAGCTTGTGTACCTACAGGCCACAGTTTTATAAACAGATGTGAACAGCCAGTAAAGTAACTCAATCATTGGCATATTCCTAAAGGGCCTAAAAAATGCTATTCTCAAAAGTATCAACATCTTTAAAATCATGCTTGTAATCTTGTTCAAAACACATGCTTGGCAAGCCTTTTTACATTGAATGTAAATTTTAGTCCACAGATACCTATCTTACCAAAAATGAAGCCATGGATCTAATCCATCTATAAATAGCAAATTGACTGATTCATTTGATCTGGCAGGTTTCTCTGTTTTAGGAGTCCTGCATACTTACTAGAAAGGGCCCTCTGACAAACTTCTTACTCTTGACAGTTCTCCCAGCGGTGATAGAATATTAAATGATATACTGGCCTGGGAGGCACATGAAGTTGAGGGAAGTACCAGGCCTCTACCCTGGATGTCTGCTAATGGGAACAAGAGGCTCTCCTTCCAGCTGTCTGACAGTGACATCGTTTTTCAAAGACTACAGATTTCAAGTAGTAAGAGAACCAAGAGGGAGGGGGGTGTCGTAGGACAAGAACACCAACCCTCAGTCCCCATCTACCATGGACATGTCTAAATGGCAATAACAAGCATTGTGAAAACTACATCTGCAGGTAAAACCTTCAGTCTTCAGAATAATGGTAGACAGATACTAGAGGTCTAACTCCAAAGGAGTGACTCGTTCAGGAATGGGAATTCCTGAATCAGTGGAAGAAGAAAAAAGGAAAAGCAAGGGAAAAAGGATTAGTAACTCAGATGTTTCAGATAATATAATCAGGATGACTCATGGTTACTAAGGTAGGGTTCTCAACCCCAACCTGCACATTTGAATCACTTGTATAGCTTTTAAACATACTTACACTCTGAAAACTATAAAACTCTATTAAAAGAAGTTTAACAAGACCTACATAAATTGAAAGATACTTTCATGAATGAGAAGACTTCTAACTGTAAAGATGACAATACATTCCAAACTGGTCTACAGATTCAATATAACCGTTCAAAATCCTAGCTGGCATTTTTTTCCAAAATTGACATGCTGATCTTAAAATCCATATGGAAAAGCAAGGAATCCAGAATCTAGCCAAAACAGTTTTGAAGAGCGAAGTTGGAGAACTCCCACTTTGCTATTCTAAAACTTACTATAAAGCTACAGTAATCAAGACAGTATGGTACTGGAATAAGGATATATGATTAATAGAACTGCATTGAGAGTCCAGAAATAAATGTCCACATTTGTGACCAATTCACATTTGACAAAGGTATGAAGAAAACTTAGTGGAGGAATAGTCCTTTCAACAAGTAACACTAAAACAACTGCATATAAACATGCAAAAGCTTTCAGACCCCTTGCTTCCACCATGCCCAAAATTAACACAAAGTGGATCACAGACCTAACTGTAAGAGCTAAAATTATGAAACTATTGAGAAATTAAAAAACAGAAAACATAGGAGTAAATCCTTGTGACCCTGAATTAGGCAAAGCATTAGATATGACACCAAAAAAGACAATCAAAAGAAAAATTAAATACATTGAACATCATCAAAACTAAAAACTTTTTATTTATTTATTTATTTTTGAGATGGAGTTTCGCTCTTGTTGCCTAGGCTGAAGTGCAGTGGCATGATCTTGGCTCACTGCAACCTCCACCTTCTAAGTTCAAGCAATTCTTCTGCCTTCAGCCTCTTGAGTAGCTGGGATTACAGGTCCGTGCCACCATGTCCAGCTTATTTTTGTATTTTTAGTAGAGATGGGGTTTCATCATGTTGCCCAGACTGGTCTCAAACTCCTGACCTCAGGTGATCCTTCCACCTTCCCATCCCAACATGCTAGGATTATGGAGATACTGTTGCTGGCCCAAAACTAAGAACTTTTATGCAAAGGACACGATCAAGAAAGTGAAAAGATGCCTATAATCCCAGCTGCTTAGAAGGTCAACGCAGGATCACTTGAGCCCAGGAGTTTCCAGCCCAGCCCGGGCAACAAAGCAAGACCCTGTCTCTACAAAAAAATAAAAAATAAAATACCCGGGTGTGGTGGCATGACCCTGTGGTCCCAGCTACTTGGGCGACTGAGGTAGGAGAGTCACTTAAGCCCAGGAGGTCAAGGCTGCAATGAGCCATGACTGCACCACTGCAACCCAGCCTGGGTGACAGAGTAAGACTCTGTCTCAAAAATAAAACAAAAACAACAACAAAAATAGCCCAATTAAAAAATAGGCAGAGTCTAAAGAGCCATTTCCCCAAAGATAATAGAGAAACAGCCAATCAGTACATGAAAAGATGCTCAATATCATTAGCTAAAAAAAAAATACGAATCAACATCACAATGAAGTACCACTTAACTTCACACCCGTTACCATGGCTAGAATCAAACAGATAATAACAAGTGTTGGTGAGGATGTGGAGAAATGAACTTTCATATATTTTTGGTGTGAATGTAAAATGATGCAAACTCTTGGGAAAACTCTGGTAGCTCCTGAAAAGATTAGAGTCACCATATAACCCAGCAATTCCATCCCTAGGTATAACCCAACTCAAGAAATCATCAAAACATAGGTTCACCCAAAAATATATACAAGAATGTCTGTAGCAGAATTTTGCCAATGTAGACACAGCCCAGATGTCTATCAACTGATAAATAAAATGTGGTACTGGATTATTAGCAATAAAAAAGAATAAAGGAATGGTACATGCTGTAACATGGATAAACCTTAAAAACATGCAAGTAAAAGAAGCCCATCACAAAGACCACATTGTATGATTCCATTTATATGAAATACTTAAGAGAATAGGCACATCTTGCCTAGGGCTAAGAACACTTAGAGAAATGGGGAGTGATGCTAATGGGTACAAGTTTCTTTTTAGGATCATGGAAATGTTCTAAAATTGATTGTGGTGACGGTTGCACAATTCTGTGAATATATTTAAAACCACTGAACTGTTCTTTAACCAAATTATCTTGTATGTTAATTACATCTTAATGACACTCAGCCCTTCCTTGAGATTTAATTAGAAGTGGAGCTTTGTCATCAATATTTTTTAAAAGTTTCAAAAGTGATTCTATTACATATTCCAAGTTGAAAGCCTCTGCTAAGGAGAGGGGGGAAAAAACCCAAAACACCACTCATACCTCTTGGGGATCCACAACACAGTAGTGATACAAATACTGATCCACGTAGAGTCCAGTAACTGCAGGTGTATAAAATTGGTTGCAGAGGGCATATATTTGTGAACCATAAAGAGATCCAGAAGACTGAGCAGTTGGATTGACTCCCATTATGTAGACAATTGTGGCAATAAACACCATGATGCCCAGGATAGCACTCACTATTATCACACTTAAGTAATATCTTCTTGTTCTGGACATTTCAGATCTTATAACACTGGTAACAAAGATCACCAACGCGGCAATGAAACAGAAGGCGGCCATGGCCAACAGGAAGCCCTTTGCTGCTCTTGGGTCTGTATAGCCTCCGTAGCCATAGCCATAACCATAGCCATAGCCATAGCCACTTCCGTAGCTACCAAAGCCACTTCCTCCATAAGGGTAGCCTATACCACCTCCTAAAAGGGAAGTTCCATAGCCTCTGTCCCAGGCAAGCGTGGAGGCCACACAGGCAAAGATGGCAATGCACATCACAATAATGAGCATAGACAGAATCCGAATCACTCCTGGAGGAGAGGTCCATTTGTAGAAGTGAAGAATTTCATCTTCTGGGTAAAATGAGTATGCCGGCTGAGACAGCATTGGTCGAACATGCATCTCTCCACCATATATGTCATTGCTTGGTGCATAATGATTCGGTTTGCTGAAATGAATATGAAAATAATTTCAAGTTAGCATTTTTTGGTAGTAAGCAGAAAGAACATAAATTATTTGAAATAATTTAAACTACTGGGTAAATGAAACTAAAGCTTATCAGTGCCCTGGAGGGCTTGTTAAAACATAAGATTATTGGAGCCTCCAAAGTGATTAGTGTCCCTCGTGTGATAATGAGACTATAGGTTCTGGCAGCCCTAGGAAGCTTCAGGATAGGAGCTAGGATTAGATGGTTGGAACTTTCAGTCTCAACCCCTCTAGACAGGAAAGGGAGGCTGAAGCTTAAACTGATCACCACCACCAATGATTTAGAGTCAATCATGCCTATGTAATAAAGCTTCCATAAAAACCCAAAAGGACTGAGTTCACAGAGCTTCTGGACAGCTGAATATGTGTAGGTTCCTGGAGGGTGGCACAGCCTGGAAAGGCCCCTTCCCACATACCTCACCCTGTCCATCTCTTCATGTGGTGTTTGCTGGCATCCACTGTAATATCATCCATTAGTTCATTCATTCATTCTAAAAAGACAAGGTCTCCCTATATTACCCAGGCTGGCCTCGAACTCCTAGGCTCAAGCAATCCTCCTGTCTCCGCCTCCTGAGTAGCCGGTATTACAGGTGTACACCACACCTGGCTTTTGTAATACCCTTTATAATAAACCAGATAAGTAGTGTTTCCCTAAGTTCTATGAGCCACTCTAGCAAATTAATTGAACCCAAGGAGAGAATTGTGGGAATCCTGATTTACTGCAGGTGGGTCAGAAACGCAGGCCACAACCTGAGCTTGTGGCTGCTATATGAAGTGGGGGTGGTCTTGAGGGAATAAGCCCTGAACCTGTGATCTGATGCTATTTCCGGGCAGCATCAGAACTCAGCTGAATTAGAGGACACACAGCTAGTGTCCACTGTAGAACTGATTACTTGGTTGGTAGTGGAGAAAAATCCCCACACATTCTGGTGATGAGAGGTCACAGACGTATTCTACATTGTGTTGTGACAGTATAGCAGGAGAAACTGAGTTTGTTTTCACCTATATTACACTCCACTACACTTATCAGGGTTAAAGCTGCAAACTACTTAGAGGAGGAAATCCCTATCAATGTTTGATAGCAAATTTGGAATTCAAAAATTCACTGATAAATCTTCACATGACCAAGGACCCCAAAGTATGCTAAGTGAAAGAAGCCAGACACAAAAGGCCACATATTACATGATTCTTCCATTTATACAAAATATGCAGAATAGACAAATCTATAGAGACAGAAAGTAGACTGATGGTTGCTTAGGGCTGATGGAACTGGGAGGTGACTGCCAATGGGTAATAAAATGTTCTAAAATTAATTGTGGTGATGGTTGTACAACTCTGAATATACTAAAAACCACTAAACTACCCATTCTAAATGGGTAAGTTGTAAAGTATGTTAATTATATCTCAGTAAAGCTGTGGGTCTTTTTTTTTTTTTTTGAGGTGGATCTCACTCTGTCTCCAGGCTGGAGTGCAGAGACGCGATCTCAGCTCACTGCAACCTCCACCTCCTGGTTTCAAGCGATTCTGTTGCCTCAGTCTCCCGAGTAGCTGGGCTTACAGGCGTGTGCCACCATGCCCAGCTAGTTTTTGTATTTCTAGTAGAGACAGGGTTTCACCATGTTGGCCAGGATGGTCTCAATCTCTTGACCTTGTGATCCGCCTGCCTCAGCCTCCCAAAGTGCTAGGATTATAGGCATGAGCCACCAAGCTGGGCCTAAAGCTGTTACTTTTAAAAACTGACAATATGTTGCCAACAGCCATCTGAACAAGGCATTTAAATGAAAGTTTCATTATCGTTTGCATAGAAATATAAATCTTGGCAATCTCTTGAAACAAACGTTGGCAATAGGTGACAGCAGTCCTCCCAGTAGAGAAAAACTATCATTCTGAAAGCTAAGAGTAAGAGAGAAATTCACTTTTCAGTGCAGACCTTTCAATACAATTTAAATTTACAAGTACACGTATCATTTTTAAAAGCAAACACTTAAAAATGAAAATTTCAGGCTGGGCACGGTGGCTCACGCCTATAATCCCAGCACTTTGGGAGGCCGAGACGGGTGGATCACGAGGTCAAGAGATCGAGACCATCCTGGTCAAATGGTGAAACCCCATCTCTACTAAAAATACAAAAAATTAGCTGGGCACAGTGGCACATGCCTGTAATCCCAACTACTCATGAGGCTGAGGCAGGAGAATTGCCTGAACCCAGGAGGCAGAGGTTGTGGTGAGCCAAGATCACACCATTGCACTCCAGCCTGGGCAACAAGAGCAAAACTCCGACTCAAAAAAAAAAAAAAAAGAAAAAGAAAAAGAAAATTTCAACCATATTTGTTTACATGTGATAGGCTCTTTAAAAGAGAATAAATAATTATTTACTTACAATTCATCAGGTCTGTAAGGAGGTGGACTTTCAAGAGGCCTCGATGACATGGTTGATGTCAATGGTCAGCTGATCTTCAGGCTGAGTAAAGCCCTTTTAGCTCTCAAGATAAACCAATCTAAGCAACAAAAGTAGGGGTATGGCATTACTACTAAGCTCACAGTTTCTTTTTTTTTCCCCCCTTGTGACTGGGTCTCACCTGTCGCCCAGGCTGGAGTGCAGTGGTCCAATCACAGCTCACTGCAGCCTTGATCTCACAGGCTCAAGCACTCCTCCTACCTCAGCCTCCCAAGTACCTAGGACTACAGACATGCATCACCATGCCTGGCTAATTCTTGTATATTTTTGTACAAAAATTTAAAATAGATACAATTTCATATTACTTTGGAAGTTCACATAAAATGAAAATGCATATGAAAGTGCATATACAGCACTAGCACATACTACCTCCTCAATGCAAACTAATAAATTATTTGGTTAAATGCCTTTATCATTAAAAGTGGTAATAAAATGCATCTATGAATGGTAGAATTGTGGATATTTTTCCCTTATCTTTTCCAAGTCTTCAAAACTGAGCGTAATTTTTATACAAGGGGAGAAAAAACAATAAGCATTATTAATTGGCCCTTTTCTAAAATTTTGTCCTAAAATTTTTCAGCACAAGTTCCTAAACATCTGAGAAGCAATTTCATTCAACAAGCATTTATTTATCAAGTGCCTACACTAGACCAGGAGAGCCTGTGGGAGTGAACTATGAGAGCCAGCGCTGGGGTCCTGGCTCTTCCAGGCTGGAGTGTTACTGATATACAGATGGCTAGCTTATGGAACAGTGAGACCAGGTGGGAACATGTTGAAATGGTGTCATCTTTTAAAATAAGGTTATAGTAAGAATATAGTGGACAGAGGATGAGTAAGAAAAGGGAGGGCTTTGAAAGTCCAGTGGGAGTGTCTCACTTCATTCAGGTAGGAAACAGGGAGCCAGTTCATGATATTCTCAGCAAGGGAGGTGTAAGTTTGATTTGAACCAGATTTGAAGGACAGAGTGAACAGTAAAAAGGAGCACCTGGAGTCAGCAGCAGCAAACCTACCCATGAGGAGACAATGAAGGGACTACCTTAGCAGACAGAAGATGGGAAAGAAACTGACATTCATCAGACACCTACCGATGCGCTGGGTGTTTTACATGAAATCCTTTCATCCTCAAAACAACCCTCCATGGTTGATTAGTCACTTTACAGATGCAGAGAGGGCCAGAAATATGCACAAGGTTATATGGTTGCCAGTGAGTCACTCAGATGTAACTTGAACCCAGATGATCTCATGTGCTTTCCACTGTGCTAGTTCGAAACAATGAGTTCCACTTGGAAAACACCAGCTATTGTGGGGAGTTCACACCTGGTGTTAGCATCCATGAGGAAGTGAAGCTGGAGATCATCTGTCTAGGTCCGTGGTTGGATCCATGGGCACTGAGAGCGCTCCAGGAAAAAGACAAGTCTCAGCAAGATGTGGTAAACATACAATCCCCAAACCTATAAAGCTTGAGGATTATTCTAGAAAACCCAGTGCTGGAGACACTAGCAAGGTACTTCCCACATCAGCTACAGAACTTCATGCCACTCCTTAGCTATGTTGAACCAGCAATAAATTCTTTCCAGGTGATACCAGTGATTAGTAGAACAGAGAACTTTGAAATCTACTAGCAGGTAAATTCCATGTGAGCAGGAATTTTTGCCTGTTTTGTTCACTAATTAAAACGATGCCTGGCACATAGTAGACCTGCAAATATTTGTTGAATGTTTACAGGAACCAGATTGGATCATGGTTATTTCTGCCTGCAAAACCTCCTGTGCTTTCAAGTTAAAGGTAACAGAAAAGTGTCAGAGTAACTTTAAAAGGTATGCTCCCTGAATGACACTTGACCAACACTTATACTGAGTATATTAAAGTATCTGATATTTTTTTCCTTTTCTAATAAGGTCTACACAATCATACATTACTATATTAAGAACAGCACATCAATTCAAACTCTTAAAACTTTTTTTAAAATTAATGGCAACTCTCTTTTTGTTTGTTGCTTTTTTTGACCTGGAGTCTTGCACTGTCACCCAGGATGAAGTGCAGTGGCATGATCGTGGCTCACTGCAACCTCCACCTCCCAGGTTCAAGCGATTCTCCTGCCTCAGCCTACCGAGTGGCTGGGACTACAGATGCAAACTGCCACGCCTGGCTAATGTTTTGTGTTTTTAGTAGAAGTGAGGTTTCACTGTGTTGCCCAAACTGGTGTCCAACTCCTATGCTCAGGTGATCTGCTGGCCTCAGCCTCCCAAAGTGCTGGGAATACAGGCATCAGCCGCTGCACCAGCCCTGACAACTCTCTTCTATAGACTTTAGGACAGTGTATTTCAAATCTTTCAGAATTAAACCCTACCCAAAATGTTAGATAAATTCTCAAAGATGGAAATATACAGAATGTTAATAACACCAACACAACTAGCATGATTTTCCAAAGACATGAGGAAAGATGACTTCTCTATGTTTTTTTAAAAACCACTTTATTAACGTACACAATAGAGAAAAGTGCACAAATCATACTGTAACCAGCAATCAAGTCCATTTCTCTTTTTTTTTTTTTTTTGAGACAAAGTCTTACTCTGTTGCCCAGGATAAAATGCAGTGCCATCATCTCAGCTCACTGCAAACTCCACCTTCCAGGGTCAAGCAAACCTCCCACCTCGGCCTCCCAAGTAGCTAAACTACAGGCACATGCCACCATGCCTGGCTAATTTTTTTTTTTTTTTGAGACGGAGTTTCGCTGGTTACCCAGGCTGGAGTGCAATGACGCGCTCGGCTCACAGCAATCTCTGCCTCCTGGGTTCAGGCAATTCTCCTGCCTCAGCCTCCCGAGAAGCTGGGATTACAGGCACATGCCACCATGCCCAGCTAATTTTTTGTATTTTTAGTGAGACGGGGTTTCACCATGTTGACCAGGATGGTCTCGATCTCTTGACCTTGTGATCCACCCGCCTTGGCCTCCCAAAGTGCTAGGATTACATGCGTGAGCCACCGCGCCTGGCCTAATTTTTGTATTTTTAGTAGAGATAAGGTTTCACCTTATTACCCAGGCTGGTCTCAACCCCCTGAGCTCAAGCTCTTCACCCACCTTGGCCTCCCAAAGTACTGGGATTACAGGCATGAGCCAACACACCAGGCCAATTTCTCTATAGTCTAATAATGGTGAAACACACATACAAATGAGCAATTTTGGCCAAAATCTTATGGAACTATGAAAAGGTAAAATTCCAGATTGTCTTCCTAATTGATGTTCAGAAAAAGAACATTAAGGAAAACTGAATTTAGGCCAAGTGAGGTGGCTCATGCCTATAATCCCAGCACTTTGGGAGGCAGAGGCAGGTGGATCACTTAAGGCCAGGAATTTGAGACCAGCCTGGTCATCATGGCAAAATCCAGTCTCTACTAAAAATTACAAAAATTGTCAGGCACGGTGATTCACGCCTGTAATCCCAGCACTTTGGGAGGCCGAGGCGGGTGAATCAAGAGGTCAAGAGATCGAGACCATCCTGGTCAACATGGTGAAACCCCATCTCTATTAAAAATACAAAAAATTAGCTGGGCATGGTGGCACATGCCTGTAATCCCAGCTACTCAGGAGACTGAGGCAGGAGAATTGCCTGAACCCAGGAGGTGGAGGGTGCGGTAAGCCAAGATCGCGCCATTGTACTCCAGCCTGGGTAACAAGAGCGAAACTCCGTCTCAAAAAAAAAAAAAAAACAACAAAAATTAGCTGGGGTAGGGTGGCGCATGCCTGTAATCCCAGCTACTTGGGAAGTTAAGGCACAAGAATCGCTTGAACCTGAGAGGTGGAGGCTGCAGTGAGCAGAGATGATGCCACTGCTCCAACCTGGGCAATGGAGTGAGACCCCCATCTGAGAAAAAAAAAATCACGCCTGTAATCCCAGTACTTTGGGAAGCCGAGGCAAGTGGATCACCTGAGGGCGGGAGTTCGTGACCAGCCTGCACAACATGGAGAAACCCCGTCTCTACTAAAAATACAAAATTAGCCAGGCATGGTGGCACACACCTGTAATCCCAGCTACTCAGGAGGCTGAGCAAGAGAATCGCTTGAACCCAAGGAGGCATAGGCTGCAGTGAGCTAAGATCCTGCCGTTGCAGTGCAGCCTGGGGCAACAAGAGTGAAACTCCGTCTCAAAAAAAAAAAGGAAAATCTGAAGTTAAGCATTATTAAATGTGGGATCCTACTTCTGAATCTGAATGTCAAATATCCCCAAGTTCTAGGTACAGTGGTAGTTTTTGAAAACTCTAAATTAATCCAGGCTCAGTCTTAAGTTGTCAAAAATTCAAACAAGATCTCTTTTCAAACTGCTATTTCCTGGATTCAGTCAGAGCCGTTATTTCTCCCAAAAAGCACAGATTTTAAATTGTGAAGCAAATCATGTGACTCATGCCTGTAATCCCAGCACTTTAGGAGGCCGAGATGAGTGGATCACCTGAGGTCTGGAGTTCGAGACCAGCTGACCATCATGGTGAAACCCATCTCTACTAAAAATACAAAAATTAGCTGAGCGTGGTGGTGCAGGCCTGTAATCCCAGCTACCTGGGAGGCTGAGGGAGCAGAATCACTTGAACCCGGAAGCACAGGTAGTAGTGAGCCAAGATCATGCCATTACACTCCAGCCTGCGCAAAAAGAGTAAAACTCCATTAAAAAAAGAAAGAAAGCTTGTTAAGAACAAAAATAAGAACAAGTCACACCACACCAACTTCCAACTTCATTTCCTTTTCTGAGAAGGTTACCAGACTGGTGGATGAAGGGATCGCAGAAAGAAAGAATCCCAAAAATCTTGAGCGCATCCTTGTGTGGGTGGGCAGATTCCCAAGGGGCTGAATTATGGCACCCAATTAGCACAAAGAATGAACCACTTACGTCCACCTGGTGGGAAGTCTCCACTGGTAATCATAGACAAAGTGGAGGAGACAGGCTTATCCAGATTTGCAGCTGACCAAACACACTGAATGATATAACTAACCCATTGGGTAGGCCATCAACACTAAAAGATCTCTGTGAAGTCAGAAGGACGAGT